GAGGGATTACAACGTGATCATTTCTAGATACTCACTGCTCACAAATGCTGGATGCATGGGCAGATGGATGGATGGAGGGATGGGTGCATGGATGGATGGAGGGATGGGTGCATGGATGGATGGAGGGATAGATGTTATCAAGGGAATCTGATCTAGTGACAGGAAACTTTCCAAGGCAGCCCATTTGGTTATAATCACAATCACACTAAATCTACCTGAAAATGCAATTACTCCATCGTGTTTTCTGACCCGTTGCTTGTCCATATTAAACTTACCTGGTTTCCTGTGTCATCCCCTCCAGCAGTATGCTTTCCGATCCCCTCATCCTGGTTGGTACCCTCCAAACATTCTCCTCTTTGTCAGGCTCTCTTTGAAGTAGGCTCTGAAACTGAGAGTGACCCTCCAGGTGTGGGGTGTAGTGAGCACAAAGATACATAATCAATTCTTTTGCAACTCTACTAGTGTGGACAAATGCTAGCATTTTTTAAATGCCTCACAACACTATGAGTTTGGCAGCCCACTAATGGGATAAACAGTCCTCTGGAGGTTGTAAATGGAAATCAAGACAAGGATTGAGATCTGAATGTGGAACTTTATGTAAATACTGTCTTGAATGTGTCATGATCGGCAGCCATAAGAGCTGTGGATTGAAAACTTGGCTCACTGGTTATGTGGCATGTGCAGGTTACGGCCCCAGTCCATTGCCTCTTATAACTCTAGCTTCCAAACAGCCAAGCTCAGCCTGGGGAGAAGGACCAGGACTCCCAGAGGCAGTCAACCTGAAAGAGCAGAACAAATTCTGGGACCTACTGTGGGTTCCGGTCTGCGTTCTGCCACGGACATGCTGTGTGGGCCTGACCCCTCCTCTGTCAGAGGGGCTGCTGAACTCCGGGATATGTAAGTGTGTGGCTCCGTGAGTAAACATGTTCAGCACCATCTTGCCAGGCGCCAGGAGCCTCATTGTGATGCACTGTGAGGCTCCACCAAGAATAGCAGTCATCATCTTAATAATAAACCATCAGGGCTGCCTCAGCCCAGGCACCGTCCTCTAATTTGCTGGTGGCTATCAGGCAAGAACGCTGCTGTGGGAGTTAGAATTCACTCTTAAAGATGCTTCCCGAAAGGGACTAAAACAGGAAGGCTGAGGCCAGATGGAACCTGTAAGGTCACCCATTCCAGTTTCCTGTGTGATGGTTCAGTCTCCTCTTAACGCCCTTTTAGCTCAGGCGTGCACTCATCCTCGATGGGCAGTGCCCTGCCGCTTGAGGGCCTTCTGACTTGTTAGCAAGTTCCTTATACGTATACAGCATCAAGCTGAAAGCCACTGCCCATTGCCGCTGTCCATTTGACGTTCAGACAACAAAGTTTTCATATCACTCACACATGCAAAAGATTTCCTGTTTTCGGTTTCTGAAAGGAGCCAAGAATTATATGCACAGGATTGCTTATGTGTTCAAATAAAGAAATCTGGCTTATGTGTGGGCTGGTAGTGGGAGAGATTGTTTTCTTAAAAGGTGATGGGAATAGTTGTGCCACAGTTTGATAGGTATCTTATTTCAGAGGCGAAGCCCCATTTCTATCTGTTGATGTTGCTCTTATGTATTTACATGTAAAAGTTGATGTAATAAATAATTGCTTTTGAGTTATTTTGTTTTCAAACTGCAGTGTACAGTGAAAACTGCCAGAGCAGACAGAGGCGTTGGTGCCTTATTACCATGTATCATTCACACTTTGATTCACTCCACAGGTATTTATTTTTATTTTTTAGAGAAAGAGGAAGGGAGAGGGGGAGAGAGAGAGAGAAACATTTATGTGAGAGCAAAACACCAATTGGCTGCCTCCTGCACATCCCCTGCCAGGGATGGAGCCTGCAACCCCGGCTTGTGCCCTCACCCTCTGGTGCATGGGAGGATGCCCAACCAATTGTTCTACACGTAGCAAGGCAACAGATACTGAGAATTTGCTTGGTGCCCTCAAGGAGTCTGCAGTTTATGAAGGGGGAGAAGGTTTGATGTTGATCACGGTGTGGAAAATCTTGTTGACTTTGCCGTCCTTTGCCAGGGGTTATGTGCCGTGCATTGCTGACTTCCCACTACCTGGCACACTGGGAGCACATGGTAAATGTTGGCTAAATGCATCAGTGGCTGGATCCATGAAGGGAATAAGCACAATCTTCCGCACTTGGTACGCGGAGCTAGATCCCGACTCCTTAGCTTACTAGCTATGCGGCTGGGGATGAGGACATGTGGCTTTATAACACAGGAACCCATCTTGCAGGGTTGGTTGTGAGGATCAAAAGAGATAGTGTGCCTAGCACAGTGCCTGGTATACAATTCTAGAAAGAAAGAAAAGGCTTATTTCGTCCCTAGTCTAGCTCCATCTGTCTGTACAGGAAAACGAATGAGAACATATCTCTAGAGACTTCATTGGTTTGCTCGTGTTTAAAGACACGGCCTCTCAGCAGAGCCCCACCCCCGAGCCCTTTGGAAAGAGCTGACATCAGCTTTACCCTGGTGAAGAGGAAACCCAGGGCCTCACTCGAGGAAGAGAGAAAAGTGGTGGAGGTGGGTGGTGGTGATGGTTGCACAACAATGTGACTGTACTTAAATGCCCCCGAACTGAGTATCTAAAAACGGGGAAGTGGTACATTTTATAGAGGCTTTGTTTCTCCATTCTCACCTACCGCATGTCTGTGATCTTCAAATAGATGCGCGAGGACATAAAAGAACCTTGCCATTTCAAGATTCGCACGAGGAATCCTGTTTTAATGTCAGTTGTCGCCTGCCATATGGCCTGTGGGCTGAGGTGCTGGGCTGAGGTGCCGGGCAGGCTGGGTGCTCCTGGGACACGTGTAGGGGCAGGGCTGGAAGCCAGGGAGAGTCAGACCCCACTCCAGGGTGAGTTTTTGTGTCCAGTGCTCATTGTCCGTAGAGAAGGCATTAACTCGGGCTTTACTCACTAACCCAGGAGGCCAGTCTGGTGGGGAGGGGGACCACACAATCATTGCTCTTTATAGAGACTCAGCAAATGTAGTGGCGTCCAGGGAAGGCTGTGGCTGAAAGCCTCCCCCCGTACCCCTCCTTGGCTTACTGGGTGCCTGATGTGAGGCCAGCTCAATGGGAGACACACCAGCAGGTACGGGGAGCTGCTCTATTCCCACCCTCCTTGGCTGAGCCAGGTGGGGACTGGGTTGCTCTCCCTGGTGGAAAGCTGCAGCGACTTGGCTGCGAGGAGCAGGGAGACCACAGCGGAGCCTTCCCCGCTCCTGTGCTCCCCTTTGGCCAGTGTGGTGTCAAGTATATTTATTTGATTGATTTTTGAGAAAATGAGCATCTGAGACAATAGTGTTACAAAAGGACTCACCTGTTGGAAAAATGGAAGGTACCTGGGCCCTCCACGCCCAGGGCCTTAATTCCTAGAGAGAGCCGAGACTTGGCGACACGTTTGCCACCAGAGAGCAGTGGTCTGCATCAGCGTCACCTGGGGGATGCGTTCAGGTTCATCGCTGGGTCTGAGGCGGGGCCTGGAGCGTCTGTATGTGCAGCAAGTTCCGCAATGCTGCCGGCTGCTCCAGAGGCCGAACTTGGAGAACAGCGATCTCAGAGTAGTCCTTTTATCCCCCGTGCTCTGAATGTAAATTACGTCTGTTTGTGTTTTGCCACGTTCCCCATTTCCGTCAGCATCTTCCACTGATATGCTTGTCTGTGTCTCCTTTGAACAGGTATTTTGACGTCGGCCTCCACGATTTCTTAATCAGGTAAGCCAGGAGTTTCTATTTTCGATATCACTGAGGAGCATGTCTGTCAGGGAGGGCCGACAGGAAAATGAAATCCCCGCTCAATATCTCGATAAATGCGGGCAGCTGTACACTTGTCAAGAAACACCAGGAGCGCTCTGTGTTTCCGTGCTTTCCCGGAATCACACGGGATTAGCCTGCACAGACAATCGAAAGGAAGTTCATGTTTAGAGGGGTTTGCATCTGAAGTGACCGTTACACGAGAGCCTGAACGAGCTTGATCCCACCCACTGGGCATCTGGAAAGACAGACAGAAGAGCGCCAGCTTGTATTCACGTGTCAAACAGCCCCCTTCGCCAGTTTCCCCACTGGGTTTAAGCTCTTTAAATGGAATCTGTTGGTTGTTTTACAGTCGTAAGTAGTTGAAAGATTAGACATGGCAGTTTGTATCCTAGTTTATTGGTGATTTTTACCAGAGTTGGCTTATGGAGCATATTAATTCCAAGTAGCTATTAAATCAAACAGAGGTTAAATGGAAATATACCAGAATATTGACAATGTGGGTAAGAATATGCCTGAGATTTTTTTTTTTCCTGCTATCAACTTTGGTGTATTTTGCAGACTTTTTTTTTTTTTTTAATATTGAGCATGTATTCATCTAACGGAGGTGAAAATTATCATTAAAATGCCTGTCAAAAATATATGTGGGAAGCAATAATGGTTGTAGAGGGAGGGTAAGCTGAAGATTAGGAGGAAACCAGAAATCATGTTGAGTGATGCGCTTTCTGCAAACGCGTGACTCTAAATGCGAATTAATTCTGACTGAGAGTCTGCTCTTAAATAGTCTGCAAACCCCGTGTGACTCCTGGGAAGGGTGGGTCAGTTCTCCGCCTCCATGACCATCTCCCTGTGATGAGATGCTCTCTCGGGGAAGTGGACATAATCGGCATTGCCTTTATCCTAAATCAGCAGCATCGCCTCTGTGTTGTATTACACATGGCGGTGTTCCCCGAAAGGCCATAGCACTGCGTACTTCCTCCAGGGCCTTGTCCTGGGCTGCGCCTTGAAATCCCCCCCATGCACCCCAGACCCGAGGACGATGGACTGTCCTGGCTTTCTCCAGGACGTTGCACACAGTGTGTGCTC